TTTTTTTGTATTAGTAGAGACAGGGTTTCACCATATTGGCCTGGATGGTCTCGATCTCCCAACATTGTGATCTGCCCTCCTTGGCCTACGAAAGTGCTGGGATTAAAGGCATTAGCCACCATGCCTGGCCTTAACAGGTACATTTAAGTCTGTTATCTATTTCATTTTGTGCTGTAAGGTCTATGTTCATTTTTGTATCCATTCAAATAACTAGTTTTTCCAGCACCACTTGTTGAAAAGTCTGTTCTTTTGAATCACCTTAACGCTTTGAACAAAAATCTGTTGAATATGAATGTATGCATATGTACACATAGTACTATGTATCTCTCACACACATATGTTTATATACATGCTCTTTATAATTCTTGTATTGATCTACACATCAGTGTTTTTGTTTGTGCTGCTATAAAGAATACCATGACTGGTTAATTTATAAAGAATAGAAATTTATTTCTCAAAGTTTTGGAGGTTGGGGATGTCCAGGAGCAAGGTGTCATCATCTGGTCTCTGGTGAAGCCCTTCTTGCCCTGTCTTCACATGTCAGGATGACAAGAAAGAGACCAAACTCCCTCTGTCAAGCCATTTTATAAGAGCAGCTAATCCCATTCACTGAGAGAAGTCCAGATAGAAATCTAGCCTTAAAGATAGTTATTCAAGAATGCATCTACTTTGATGCTTTACCTAAGGGGATGTATGCTCAACTATGCTGTATGTAGCTTGAGTGGCAGAAAGGTGAAGCTTCAGAAGCTTGAAATGTCAGGGAATAGCCTTAAGCTGTCAGCACAGCTGGAAATAAGAGGAGAATTTCTAGACTCAAGAAATTTACATGGAAAGTGATCTCCATCACTAACTGACCAGCAAATTAAGAGGCATAGGGAAATGAGTCTATAGGGAGCCAAGCTAAAAGAGCAGCCATGGAAAACTATGAGAATAAAGCAGAGATATCAATAGCTGCATGCGCCAGGGGAGACAATGTTGGCAGCTTGAATCTGGAAAAGTTAACTGTCAAACAGAACAAACAAACATAAAATCAATAGTACTCAGGGCAAACAAAAAAAACAGTAGAATCAGAGTCATTAGACTACATTACAATGTCCAGGCTTCAATAAAAAATTATTAGGCATGTAAAGAATAGGAAGAAAAGACAGGAGAAAGGCAATCATAGCAAGATACTCGAGTGTATCCAGATATTTGATTCAGCAAAGACTTGTAAGCATTGCTTCTGTTTTGCTGGCACAGTAATTATCTTGATTGATGTTTAAATGTTAAATCTGCCTTGCATTGTACTTCCATGGCAGTCATCCTGAGAAGACAAAAGCCATGGGATCAGTATTTTTTCTTTGCTTATTTGGCACTTAAAATCAATAATTTTGCACTAAAATATGAACTCCATAAATGTAGAGACTGTTATATATTGGTTTTGTATCCCTAATGACTGTAGCAGTGTCTGACATAGATTGGGTGCTCAATGAATAGTTAATGAATGAATGAATGACTAAAATATAAACTAAAATTACTAGTTGGCTCCATGGAGAAAGACTTTCAGACATTTTACATCCACAGTGAGGCAGTCAAGGGCTGATCATGTGACTAGTTATTAGTCTTGTTTTGTACCCATATTTAAGATTTTAAAATAGATGTCCAATAGAAGTAAATAGCACAATAAATTCATCATCACTAGCTAAATATTAATATATATTACACATTTTACACTGTAGGTACAAGAGGGGTACAATTAAGTAATCTGTGAATTTAAAACATGTCCAGGGTAGAATTTCATTGAAAATATAAGAGGTGAATATATACTCAAAAAAAAATTTTTTTTAAACATTGAATATCTGTCCTTCAATTTAATCCTATACTGGTTTGTTGACTCTTAAACAAAGTTGCCAGTTTGTAACCTCAAAGGAAAACAAAGTGACGCAATTATGTACTGATAAGTAGATCTCTAGGAAAGAAATCAGCGATTCCTTAAGCAAAGCATCCATTGGCCCTTTGGAAATTCTCTTAAAAACAGAATGAAGCATGTTATTAGCCTTTATGTCACTAGAGGGTGGTGTTGCTTCAGAGAAACACAATTCAGACTCATCTGTAGTAACTGACCAAAAAGTGCCAACCAGAATCCAACTGCTAGCTTCACATTGTTATTCCACAGAACCTCATGACCCTGTCTCTACATAAAATAAAATTGTAAAATTAGCCAGATGTGGTTTCATGTGCCTGCAGCCGTACCTACTCAGAAGGCTGAGGTAGGAGAATCACTTGAGCCCAGTTCAAGGTATCATGAGCTAAAATCATGCTACTGCACTAAAGCCTGGGCAACAGAGTGTGACTGTCTTGTTCACAAGGTGAATAGCTAAAGGCAGACAACTTAGGATGAAGTAAAATGCTGATAAAAGAGAAATGTTACACAAATTATCTGAAATGCAACACATCTAGTTCATTGGTACAGCGGTAAGAGGCTAACAGTTCTTTACTAATACATGCTCTGATGCTTATGCTTATCAAGTCCTTTTGGCTATCTATAGCAAGCATTTCAGTGGGAGAAGTAAAAGTTTCAAAGAAGTCAAATATTTGTAAATAAAATGAGAATAGTTTTTGATGTAACTGGGAAAAGATCAGCTTTGCTTCCTTTACTGTGTGAACGGTGAAATAGTCTCAAATTTTAAATAATTAATTACACTAGAATTGTATTAATTCCAGAAGGAATAAACTTGATAGCCACTTTCATCCAGATGCTTTGGATAAAGCTTTATCTAAGAATAACCTCAAATATTATTTTACTTTTCAAATGATATTAGTCTAGAAAAATACTCTCTCAAATATGGGTTTAAGATTAATGCAAAATAATAAGACAAAAGTTTGGGGAAGATTTTAGAGTTAAACCATTTCACCCTTCCTACCTCTTGTTCCCATTGTAAATGTGACATTTTAATTAATAAAACTTAAAAGTGCAAAACATTTTTTAAATGACAGCAAAACAAAACGAAATTCATGTTGTGATTAATGTGTTATTATTAAAATGGAATTTAAATTGCATTCTTGCTTTTCCTTCTTTAAAAAACATATAATGTTATAGTGATATTTTTTCAAACTCTCATACAGAATCAAGACAATAGCACATAAAGAAAGCATGCAGAGGGACATATCTTATTTTTTTTTTTTTTGAGACAGTCTTGCTCAGAGTGCCACCAGGAGCCAGGCTGGAGTGCAGTGCTCTGCCTCCTGTGTTCAAGCAATTCTCCTGCCTTAGACTCCCAAGTAGCTGGGACTACAGGCATGCACCACCACCCCCGGCGAATTTTTTGTACTTTTAGTAGAGATGGGGTTTCACCATGTTGGCCAGGATGGTCTTGATCTCTTGACCTCATGATCCGTCTGCCTTGGCCTCCCAAAGTGCTGGGATTACAGGCGTGAGCCACCTCGCTGGCCGACATATCCCATTCTTACCTCTTAACAGTAATTTAAAAGTAAAGAACACCCATACATGAAGAACATCAGCTAAGCTACGAAAGGCAATCTGAAAGTTGGTCTATGTCCATCAGAATAGTGGTCTTTATAGTGCTTTATGATTATGTCTAATTTCTTATAAATATGAGGAAAAATGAACTTTGCAATTATTTTTTTTAAATCTTTTTATTTCTTGAACAGCATGAAAAGGAAAAAAAAAAAGACTTTCCTAAGGTTAGGGGAAAATGATCTCACCTTTGATATTCATCTTCTGAGAGCAGTTATGGGATCCAGGTCTGGAATACATGGTTCAAATAAGATGGGAGTTGAGAATTGCTGAGACTTCAAGAACATTCTTTAGCTTCTTGAGGTCTGAGTTACCCCCCTTTAAGGTGAATAATAATAGCAATAGTACCTTGGAGGATTTCTGTGATAAAATGAGAAAATGCTTGTGAGAAGTACATAACATATGGCTTACTGAAAGATGTTATGAAGCAAGCTCATATGCCTATTTTCATTCAGTGTTTATTATGTCAAAGGCAAAGTTTCCATGTAGCTTCATGATATCTAAGTATTTTTCTAGTTCTTAGTGTATGAAGAAAAGAAGGATGGTTGGAGGCCGTGTAAGGAATACCTTTCTCCTCTACTCCCCTCTCACTCCCGTAGGCTGGGAGCAGCTGATTTCACTACCTCAGATATGCAAACTGTGCCACCCTCCTGTAGCCACTTTGGCCCTAGCTGACTGATTTGCTGGGGTCAAGGGAAGTGGGCAGGATTAGGCAGGGGTAATAGATGGGATTTCTTGGGCCTGGAATTCAACCAACCAATGTATTTGTTTCCCTGTGTCTATTCCCTTAAGTCTACAGGCATTCTCTAGTAATTTTATAGCTTTTAGCGGCACCCCAGGAGACAGGACGGCTTGGCCATTTTATAATCACTCAAGCAGAGTCCCAAAGCAAAAAAGAAAAAGGTGACGATCACCTATGCAAAGGCTTGTGTGGATCGCTTAAGGACAGGCGACTTACACTTTACTAAGAGTTACTAAAGGCGGTCCCTGTAGGAGCGTTTGTGGTCGAAGACGCAGGAGGACGAGCGCTCAGCAGCTTGCTGGGGTCCCCAAGCCCAGTGAGACTTACTAGCTGCTTGCCGCCCCCGACACTTTGGCAGGGAACTGGAGGAGGCGCCCAGTGGGCCCCGCGTCCGGCCAGGAGCAGGGCATTTCAGAGGAGCCCGTCTGAGGGTTTTCTCAACCCAGGCGTTCAGGTTAGGCAACAGCCAAGAGAGACGCTCAGTTGCTTTGCACCCTCCTCCCACCTCGGTTCTGTCCACACCCACGGGCGCCCCGCCCCCTCGGCCTTATACAGGGGACCTGGCACCTCTGCACGCCTCGGAGCCAGAGGTTTCTCGGAGAGGAAGGCGCGGCTGCCTCCGGGGCCAGTGAGCCCTGGCGCCGCAGCGATCGCGGCCTCAGTAGCGGAGTAGGGCGGCGGCTGCGCCCCCACACCATGGAGGGCAGCCCAGCCCCAGCCGTGCCGTGGTAGCAGCCGACCTCCGCCGCCGCCCGCCCCGCTGCTGCCCCGTCCCGCTGCGGCTTTCTGGACGCCATCCCCTCCTCACCTCGAAGCCAACATGAAGGAGACCCGGGGCTACGGAGGGGGTGCCTCCTTCTGCACCCGCCCCAACCACTCCTACACTGGCATGTGGGCACCCGAGCGCTCCGCCGAGGCGCGGGTCAACCTTACGCGCCCTCTAGGGTCCGGCGAGGATTGCGGATCGGTGTCCGTGGCCTTCCCGATCACCATGCTGCTCACGGGTTTCGTGGGCAACGCTCTGGCCATGCTGCTAGTGTCGCGCAGCTACCGGCGCCGGGAGAGCAAGCGCAAGAAGTCCTTCCCGCTGTGCATCGGATGGCTGGCGCTCAGCGACCTGGTCGGGCAGCTTCTCACCACCCCGGTGGTCATCGTCGTGTACCTGTCCAAGCAGCGCTGGGAGCAGCTCGACCCATCTGGGAGGCTCTGCACGTTCTTCGGGCTGACTGTGTTCCGGCTCTCCTCGCTGTTCATCGCCAGAGCCATGGCCGTCGAGCGGGCGCTGGCCATCAGGGAGCCGCACTGGTACGCGCGCCACCTGCGCTGTGCTGCTCGGCGTGTGGCTGGCCGTGCTCGCCTTCTCCCTGCTGCCCGTGCTGGGAGTGGGACAGTACACGGTGCAGTGGCCCGGGATGTGGTTCTTCATCAGCACCAGGCGAGGGGGGCAACGGGACTAGCTCTTCCCATAACTGGGGCAACCTTTTCTTCCCCTCTGCCTTTGCCTTCCTTGGGCTCTTGGCGCTGACAATCACCTTTGCCTGCAACCTGGCCACCATTAAGGGCCTGGTGTCCCGCTGCCGGGCCAAGGCCACGGCATCTCAGTCCAGTGCCCAGTGGGGCCACATCACGACCGAGACCGCCATTCAGCTCATGGGTATCATGTGCATGCTGTCGGTCTGCTGGTCTCCGCTACTGGTAGGTAGTTCCAGGGTTGGGGGAAGAGAAATGGCAGCACCTGCAGGGGTGTGTTTGCAACCGCAGAGCACTGGAGTGTCCTCTGCTCCTGCCCACGCTGTCTTGGGTACAGCTGCAGAGGTGAGCTCCTCACTTACTCCCCGACTCGCTGAGTGCCTTCCAAGAGCCAGGACTCGCGTTAGGCACTGGTTATGCGCACATAGAGATCACAGGGCTGCTCACATTATAGTCTGGGCGCAGGATATGTCATTAAAATGACATATTTTCTATGCAGAGATAGAAGTTTGTCGTGGGTGCAATAAGAGCAGAATGACTATGATAACTATGATAACTGTAGCCTGTGTGGGTGGGTGGTGGGAGAGCTTCTTTATTTAAAATACCTCTCTCAAGTTAATGCGATTTTCGGTCTGCAATCCCAGACAGATATAGCCCTCTTGTAGCTTCCAAAACACTGCGTGACCTATGGGCGCCTTCAAGGTTCACTTTCTCTTTCTTTCTTGGGCGCCTTCAGTTCACTTTCTTTCTTTCTTTCTTTCTTTCTTTCTTTCTTTCTTTCTTTCTTTCTTTCTTCCTTTCTTTCTTTCTTCCTTTCTTTCTTCTGACTGAGTCTCTCTCTGTCACCCAGGCTAGGGTGCAATGGCGCGATCTTGGCTCACTGCAACCTCCGCTTCCCGGGTTCAAGCAATTCTCCTGCCTCAGCCTCCTGAGTCGCTGGGATTACAGACATGCGCCACCGCACTGGCTTATTTTTTGTATTTTTAGTAGAGACTGGGTTTCACCGTGTTAGGATGGTCTCCATCTCCTGACCTCGTGATCAGCCCCGCTTGGCCTCTCAAAGTGCTAATATTACAGGGTGAGCCACCGCGCCCGACCTAGGTCCACTCTTAATGAGGCAGCAGAATGAAAGATGCGAGTTGCCTCCTCAGGCCTTTGGCATGGTGCTTGACCCTCTAGGAAGTGCCTGAACAACAGTCTGGGGTTCGGAAGCCCAGCAGCTCCTTCAGGTCATGCAATCAAGCAGGATTGGGTATTCCTGAGATAGGAGGAGGTAGGGGTTTCTTCATGTCCTAGTTTCTCACACCAGAGCAATGTGGAGGAGCAAGGGGTGTTTTCATAGGCTCCTTGTCCAACACCTGCCTTTACATGGTATTTTTGAGGTTTGTTTGTTTTTTGTCTGTGTTACTTTTAGCTAATAAGTGCTGTTTACTAATTCCTGAAGAATAGATGCTTACTTACTTAGGCCCTGGGGAGCCTGGGTAAACAGATGTTGCAGAAAGAGTGATCTGGTCACTTTCAGAAGGTATAACCAACTATATATATTATATAATCATGGAAAACCTTTGAAACACATGAACACATTTTTTTCTACTTGTGGTCTAATATATTACATACAATTTGGAGTTTTAACCATCATCATGTGTACAGTTCAGTGGCATTAGGCATTAAATACGTTGACTTTTTTGTGTGCCATATATAGTTTTAAATCCCTTCTTTCACCTGGTTTGGTATCTTGGAGCACAAATCTTGGCTCCAAATCAGTGGCATGAGAGGACAAGGAGAGTTATGTTGGGACCTAACTGCCCACAAGTCACTGCATGGTCACAGTTCTTTATTCCAGGAGTTGGAACTCAGGCTGATGTCATCACTATGGCTTATCAAAACCAGCACCAATTTTAGACATGGAGTGTTTACTTCTACGGCTGAGGAATGGAGTAAATAAGTGGCCAACTAGGTAGGAAGAGCTCTAAATAATAATCACTTTATTAAAGTATGGTAATTAGTAACTATAAAGGCAAACAGGGTATCTGAATTTTTTACAAGTGTCATTTGAGTCCCACATCTTTGAGTTTGCTGTATCACATGATTTATATCCTAGGAGAAAAAACAGTTAAATCAATTGAACAAAAGGCCCATACAGTTAATCAGACTTATAATTTATTATTTGTATATATTTTTTAAGTCAAAATAGTGTGTTTTTTATTCAGACACTTTAATTCTAGTGCCATGAGTATGGTGACCTCAGAAACAAAGTAGATCAATCTTAAAAACTGTAATTTAGGATGGCCAAACTCACTCTTTCAAGAAAGACTATATTTGAAACTAATCTTATTTAATTTCAATTTATTTTCATTCAGACAATACTTATTGATTTATAGCATTTACTGGGCACTTTATTAATTCAGTTATAGAAACATTAAATAAATTCAACATGTAATCATATCAAAAAGAATTTTTTTTTAGACAGAATCTCCCTCTGTCACCCAGGCTGGAGTGCAGTGGCAAGATCTCAGCTCTCTGAAGCCTCCACCTCCCAGGTTCAAGTGATTCTCCTGCCTCAGCCTCTCCAGTCACTGTGATTACAGGCACCAGCCACCACACATGGCTAATTTTTGTATTTTTAGTAAAGATGGGATTTCACCATGTTGACCAGGCTGGTCTTGAACTCCTGACCTGAAACCTGCCTCAGCCATCCAAACTGCTGGGATTACAGGCATGAGCCACCACGCCAGGCCTAGGAGAAATTTAAAGTTTCAAAACAGAAACTTTTTAAACAAAAAGGCTCCATCAGCCGGGCATGGTGGCTCACACCTGTAATAACAGCACTTTGGGAGGCTGAGGTGGGTGGATCATCTGTGGGCAGGAGTTCGAGACTAGCCTGGCCAACATAGTGAAACCCTGCCTCTACTAAAAATATAAAAATTAGCCTACCATGGTGACATGCACCTATAATCTCAGTTACTTGGGTGGCAGTGGCAGGAGAATTGCTTGAGCCTGGGAGGCGGAGGTTTCCATGAGCCAAGATTGAGCCACTGCATCCCAACCTGGACGACAGAGCAAGACTTTGTCTCAAAAAAAAAGTCTTCAAATATCTTTAAAAAGATTTACTGTACAAAGTTGGAATTATTTCAAAGAAAAGAAACTGGCAAAGCTGCTTTCTTAATAGAGAACAAAAACACTTGAATTTAGTGAATTTAATTTGCAGCATATTGGTGTTAAAATGAGAGATTTTTTAACACTTTTTTTCTAACTATGGGTAAAATATAGATTTCCTGTTAGCTTTTGGTAAGTTGAGTACAGGATACTATTCTAATTGTCCCAACTTCTTACTCAAAAGGACCCTGAGTATATCCTGGAAGGCTATCATGACTGTAACAAATATTCAGTTGTTACTGCAGGAAAACTTGGTAGGGCAGGAATACCATAATAAGAAAATGTCCGAACTGCTGCAAGTTCCCACTACATAAATACTTAGAGGTTTGTGTATCCTTAAATGATAGTTAGTTTCCTTTATCTTTTTCTCAGAGACTTTGCAAAATCCAACATAAAATGTGAAATTAAGAGAGTACAGTGGGAAACAATGTCACCATGATCGATGATCTGCAGTTCTTAGTTACTGCTTACGTAAAGCATCACGTTGTCCTTCTGCTGCAATCAGCCAGTGCACTGCAATCTATTTGACTTTTGTCATTATTGGTTTATATTTTATGAATGATGTTCACCATAGTTCAGTTTTTTGACATGATTGCTAAATTTCCAGAAGTGGGAATAACCTTAGGATTTTGTTCGAAAGAAGTCGTGAGTACATTTTGTACTTTTATAACTTGGCACTCCCAAATGGGTAGAATGTGGCTAATTCTGTAAGCTATCTCAAAAACAGTAAATATAAAGCCAGTTATCAACATTGTGAAAAGTGAGATGTGAGCAACAAACAGTTTCTCATCGTCAATCTTGGAACTGGATAAAAGCAGCCTTAAAAACTGTTGCCTTTAATCTTGAACCAATGAATTCCCTGCTCAGTAACCACAAATCCAAACAGGGATGTTTCAATTCAAGAAGATATTTCACAAGGTAGTTGTGATTCAAAATATTTTTTTAGTTAGGGAATCACTGATTTATTTTGACAAGTGAAATTTGCCTTTAATATGCCACATGTGGAGATATGTGTGATGAACTACTTTTCAGAAATAACATTGTTTGACAGCACATAAAAATATTATTCAATAGCTAATCTCTTCTGCCTCTAACTTTCTGTGATATTCAGGATGTTGCTTCAGAGAAAATGAGTAAACATATGAATCCACATTGTAGGAAAATATTCTGTAATATTTCTCTTTAAAAACTGTGAAGGTCAACAAAATATTCTATGATTATAAAAGTGATTAATGTTATAATCTGTTCAGAAAAGCAGAATTTTCATATTTATGACTGAAATATTTAAAAAACAATGGTACTTTGTTTCATTCAAAATAGTCCATCTGAATTTGCCAGAGTAGATTTCTAGGAAGAGGTGAAATGGCATAACTTGACTTCATGACTGACAGCAAGTGTGTCCCAAAACCCAGCCCAATGAGAACAAAGGGCGCACACTAACTAGATCAATGGGAATGATGGTTTGAAAATGAGCAAGAAAACAAACTTAGATGATTGAATGACATCGCTCTTTTGCCTGTAGGCAGTAGAACCTTCCTTTTGGGTTTTTGAGTAGGGAAAAGAGATTATTGGCAGAGTTGTACGGTGTGGATAGATTTAGGCTGGAAAATGAGAATGTGAGATCAGTTATGACTTGCTAAGGTTGGTTAGGGCCTTAGGGGAGAAACAGTGAGAAGAGCTGAGTTAGAGAAGGAAACATAAAAGAGAACTGATGCTATTAGAAGTGGTTGATTTTAAGGAGCCATTGATTCAACAAACACTGAGTGTCTACTGTGTCTTATGAGCTGTGATAAATGTGTTTCCATACATTGTGTCATTTAATTGCATCCTGTAAGATTTCCACTATTATCTACATCATTCAGATGAAGAATTTGAGTACAAAGAATATTGGAATCATATTTCTAATTCAGGATATCTGATTTTCAATTTTAGTTTTCATTCTTGTTGTTGCTTATTTGTTTGTTTGTTTAGCATAGATAGAGGCCAGGAATTCAACAGCAGCAATAGGGGATTTATATATTCTCCTATCTATAAACACAGAAGTAGGACTAATAGAGCTAGTATCTTTTTCCATTTTTAGTCTTCTCAAATTCTCTTCTCTGGGGGAATCATGGTTCAATGAACCAAAATGGGCAATTTGGAAGGGGAACTGTTTGGTAGATGCTAAACAAGGATGGAACTCCCTGAGTGACTGGACATGTGAACACAGTACATATGGGTCGATGGTGGATTATGTAAATGATATATCCAGAATTCAATGTAACTTGAAGATTAATGAGATAAATCAGGGCTAGGAAATGCAGATTTTGAAATTTTGAGTTTATCAAAAAGAGCCAAGAATTAAACACTTCTTAAGCCATCATCTTTGAGGAAATTCACATGGTCTGAAGTTGCAATATAATTGTGAGTCACTGACCCTTCTGTTTTGAAAAAGCTGTGAAGGTCAACAACTAAATCATAAAAGTTTCCATAGGTTTAGTTTTCCGCCACTCAGAGCCATTCAACACAAGCATCTGTAACAGACTATGATTCATCTGAGTGTGCAGAGTGATGATAGGTGAAGAATACTGGGTGCTAAGTTTCAGTTTTTAGTTCCCTTGCACTGCAGGAAAGAAATGCAGGGAAGTCCTTCCTAAATCTCTTTACATCTGTATAGCATTTTTGCAACCTGCTAGTGCTCCACATTTATCTACTCATGCCTTGCAACTCTGAGATCTATAACGGTAAAATGTCAAATTCTTACTCTCCCATTTTTTCCAATTCCTTTTCAAAGAGATACGAAGGAAGTTTGTATTTCAAATCCTCCCAGTTATGCTTCTTGAGAATGATTAGACAATCTCTCAAGTCCTTTTCCCTAGAAAATTTCAACTTTCAAAAAGATGGTAACTGATGAAGGAATCTAATTTGGGAGGGGGTTCCTCTTACATCTTGTCCCCTAAGCATATGACAACATTTTACTGTAAACATAGTACAGACAGTCTCTCCGGCTTAGGATTTTTCAACTTCACGATGGTGTGAAAGGAATGCACATTCAGTAGAAACTGTACTTGGAATTTTTAATGTTGATCTTGTATCAGGCTGGTGATATGCAGTGTGATACTTCCTGGTGATGCATGC